CCGGCCTTGGCTGGGCTTGGGTTAGTGCCCGGTTCATGGAAGAGCCTGTTGCTCGTTACTAATAATCTAAGCCGTCTAAGCCTTGCCTTTATTTTCTTACAGTATTTACAGCAATTCCTACTGCTGTGATGTTGCCCCCCTTTTTGAGGGGATTCATATGAAGTAATTTCCCAGCACTTTGTTCAGCTTTTACAGTTTACACTAGCATTTTGGATCTGGGGTCAGAAACGTCAATTCCTCTCTTCTGCTGATTGTGTAATAGGCAAACATGCATTGCATTAACTCTTTTAACTCCATTAATCTGGGGTATGCTGCAGAAACATAAAATTACTTGAGCACCTATGCCTGTGGATTCATATGAAGTAATTTCCCAGCACTTTGTTCAGCTTTTACAGTTTACACTAGCATTTTGGATCTGGGGTCAGAAACGTCAATTCCTCTCTTCTGCTGATTGTGTAATAGGCAAACATGCATTGCATTAACTCTTTTAACTCCATTAATCTGGGGTATGCTGCAGAAACATAAAATTACTTGAGCACCTATGCCTGTGTACTGAGCTTGCCAGAGGCAGGTTAGTTCTAGTCTGGAAGAAGCGTAGCCATACATAAGACATTATGGTTACCTGTACATGAGAAGGTACATCTTTTTCTTCGGGACTCTTGACCAGTAGCACATGCTGAACGTTGCAGTGTATGCGTGCTCTTTAATAGATTTTTTTTTTTTTTCTTCCACAGTTCTCAGTTACTAATGCAGATGAAGGAGTGTTCATAAATTCTGCTTAAGAACTCAGTCATGGTTTTTCCAAAACATTCTGGTCACCATAATGCTTTGAAACTGTAGAAGAATTAGGTTTCAAGGTAGCTCTAGTTGTGTATGAGAAGTCAGGATGTAGAGATTTAAAGGCAATTTACTGTCAGAAAAGCTATGATCTCACATGATGTGGCAGGGAATTGACAATTTAAAAGCACAATTTGAAGGTTAAAAGCTACTGATAACTCTGGTAAGAACAGGTGAATTATCAGTCCATCCCAGAGCCAACACTGCCTGTGTAGTCTGTTAGTTCCCACATAAATCACAGTGGCCAGCAACTTACTTTACACTGGCTTCAGTGTTGTCTTAGCAAAACTTATTTAAAATTGAATTTTCAAGTAAAACACAAATTACCTTAATTTTCAAATTCCCCTATCACAGATTGTGTCCATAGCTCATTTGTAACTGCAAGTGGCAGTCAGTTTTTCATTTTTCTATTTGTTCCTGTAGTTAGAGTCTAATGATCACATTTACATTAACTTAAGATCACCTCAGTAAGCTTTATATACATTTTTTAGCCATGATTTGAGTTGTCATGCTCAATTTTGGCACTGTCACAAGACTAGTCTAGCCAGAGAATTATGAGCTGATACATACGAATTGTTAGAATACAGCTGATAGAACCCTTATCTGGTTGGATTGCATCTCTCTTCCAAGGCTGAAACAGCCTATGCAAAACAGGATCTTGCATTAAAACTTGGCAGTACAGTAAATTTAGGAAGATTGAGGGCTTGTCTTTAATAGTCAGTTGAGCAAATAATCACAGTTTATTAAAATTTTTCTGGTTTTGAAGAAGTATTGAGCTGAAGCCATAAAGCTTATTCTTTGTCCTAGAAGGTGTTTGCCTGGGAGATTACGTTGACAGGCTGCTTATTTTGCAATAGGTAGGGCCATGGCTCCATGCAAACAAACTTTGCTGAGGCTTCTTCATAAATAAAATGAATGATGGTTATTTAACCTGCTACTGACTCCTATACTCAGCAAAGCATACCGATGAATGAGCAGTCCTCAAACAATATTACGCAGGCAAATGCCGAGCTGGCGTAAATAACTTTGGTTTAGCAAAGGACCCATCTTTCTGCCATCCTCTCTGGGACAGCATTCTGTCCTCCTGGCTTTGTTGTATGGGGAGAAAGAACTTCTCTCTCATGAGGGGTTTAAGGTAAAAAGCTGCAGCGTGCAACACTCAAGCTGATGTCTGGTTTAAAATAGGAAGCTCCAATATACTTTCAGGAGAATCTTTGGGAGCGTGGTGGAGGAAGGTCAGGTAGGGTAAGGCCTTCGACCTGAGTAACTTCTCTAGTCAAACCCTGCCACATGGATTCTTTAAGCAGGTATATTAAACTTAGTGGGGGAGCAAAGAGAAGAGTAAAGGTTCCCTGGAAAAAGGGGCCATCTGGAGCTGTGACAGTTCAGCGGCAGGGGACGTGCTCCTGGTCTCCCCTCTGTTAGCGTGGCGCACAAGGACTCACAGAGAGCAGTGTTTGCAGATAGTGCAAGTCAGCCTCCTCCTCAAAGATGCCTCATCATGCCTTGGAGGCATGATACACCCTGGTGTTTTAATCAAATGCTTTGAACTTACGCTAATATATACTATACTTAAATTAAAAGCAAACAAAAAACCAACCTTCCCATGGGCTATAGAGCTACTGTTCTTGGTTCATTCATCATTTTGCCAAAATATTGATGAATGCAGTTAACAGTGTTTGAGTGTAGCTTTGTTGCAGACTGAAAAAGATTGACAAAAGTTTATCTTACTAGTGTATCTGTAGAAGCTTTTAACCCCTATACAGACTTTTCAGTTTCCTCCTAAACCATCAGAGTTTCTGTTGAAAACCTTTGTTTACATAAGCTTTGGAGAGAGAATATTGTGATTTAGTTCTCCATCTTCAGATGGCAAAACTCTTTATCACCTGAATTCCACTTAAAAACGTATTTAAAATCCATTGAAGTGCTATTTCACAGTGTATTTTGTGTGTGCCTTTGTTAGTATTTCCAAATACACACTCCCCAGTTTACTGTACTATTACTGTTTCCGTTCAGAATGATATCACTGAGGTTCTGGGCAAATAGAAGGCAAGAACAAATTAGCTTTCTCTTGCTCATGGGCATTTTTCTTTATGAAAAATATGGAAGTAAGGGGACACACAGTGTAAGATTTCCCTCTGGATAATGATTAGATCCATTCATGCATGTGTACTCTGAAACTGCTTTGTAAAATACCTTATTGTAAAGGGACTATGCATTGGTAGGAATTGTGTGTCTTTGAAATGAAGTTTTAAGTTTTAATAATTTAAACTCTGAAAAGTCTGCCTCCAAGGCCAAGCAGGATGTTGGGTATGTATAAGTAACCTTTTATTAAAATACCTTTGTTGTTCCTTTTCTTTGAATTAAATCAAAGAAATATGTATATTACTGCTCAGCATGTTTGTTATTATACAAGTGTTCCATCTTGCAGCTTCCTCTTGTTTAAATCTCATTTGTTTAGATTATGAAAAATATGCAGTCATTGGTTGGATTTGATATAGAAATGTATACAGTTGCTCTCTGCCTGTTAGTCTCCCTGGCTAAGTGAGTTCAGAATGTTACTTAAGTCTTAGAGTACTTGTAAATATTGAGGAAATGTCTGTCTAGTAGGGGGGGAGAGAGAGAGACCTAACTTATTGGACAACTCTGCCAGTATCCTCTTTATTTGGCAGTAACAAGCTATCTAATCAGCATATGTAAAGTGGCCCATGAGGTTTAACAAATGCAGTTCTAGGCTAGCCATATCACAGGCTGTCTCTTGTCTGGTAGAGTGTCTCAACAAATCAAACACCAGAAAAATTAGACACCAGAGCTCTGGCAAATGCCCAAGAGTGGAAAACATTAAAGCTATGGCTTGCAGTGAAACCTCAAAGTACAAATCCGTGAGGAACGAGGCTTCGCTACTTTTGATCCTCAGAAATCTTTTTGTAAGAGAATGTGAAAGCACTTTTTTTAAAAAAAATTATCAAACAATATTGTAAGATCCATGCAAATGGTTCAGTTACATGGTATTTTTCTTGAGAAACTGATCCAGGCCTACACTAACCTATAAACCTTCTCCCAAGTATTGCTGCTGAAAACAACTATGCTTATGCAGTCAGCATTAAACTATGGAATACTTGGAGAAGAATTAAATTTGGAAAACCAAAGTAAATAATTTCACAGAATCGCAGAATAGTTGTGTTTGGAAGATACCTTTGAAGATCACCTATTCCAACCTACTGCTCAAGCAGGATCAGCTAGAGCAATTTGCCGAGTTTGGAGTCTGTCTTCATCTTCGTTACTCCTCCCCACCAAGTATTCGGAATCATAGAATCATTTAGGTTGGAAAAGACCTTTAAGATCATCCAGTCCAACCATTAACCTAACACTACCGAGTCCACCACTAAACCAATTAAGGGCAGAGTAATAATTAATTTTATGCTTCCTGGCTTGGTGGCTGGATTATGTATAATGAAAGTAAAAACTAGGAATCATTAAGGTTGGAACGGGCCTCTAAGATCATCAGTCGAACCGTCAACCCAACACCACCATGTCCACTGAACAATGTGTGGCAGGATGGCCGGCTACAGCGTGGAGGAGCGCGCCATGCCTCACAGCCTGGAATACTGGCTTTTTTTTCAAGGACGCTGCCGGCCGCTACATCTCCCCTTTCCATGATATCCCCATCTATGCGGATGCTGGCAAGAATGTGTTCAACATGGTTGTGGAAGTACCTCGATGGACAAATGCTAAAATGGAGATTGCAATAAAGGATCCCTTAAACCAATTAAGCAAGATATCAAGAAAGGAAAACTACGCTACGTAGCAAACGTGTTTCCCCATAAGGGTTGTATCTGGAATTACGGTGCTATCCCACAGACTTGGGAAGACCCAAGTCACAAAGACGAAAATACTGGCTGTTGTGGAGATAACGATCCGATTGATGTGTGCGAAATTGGAATCAAGGTCTGCTCTCGAGGAGAAGTCATCGAAGTGAAGGCGCCGGGCATGGTTGTGCTGATCGATGAGGGAGGACGGACTGGAAAATAATCGCTATCAACATTGAAGACCCTGAAGTGGACGACTATGATATCAATGATGTCAGAAGGATGAAACCCGGATACTTAGAAGCTACAGTGGACTGGTTCAGAAGATACAAAGTACCTAATGGAAAGCCAGAAAACCAGTTTGCTTTTAATGGCGAATTTAAAGACAAGGATTTTGTGGTGAACGTCATCAAAAGCACTCATGAACACTGGAAAGCTTTGCTTGCAAAGAAAACTGATGGAGGGGAGATCAACTGCACAAATCTGACGGTATCTGACAGCCCTTTCTACCCTTTCGTTCAAAAAACGGGTAGACGTGGCACTCTGGGACATGGTTTAGTCTAGTCTACCCTTAATTGGTTTAGTGTGGACTTGGTAGTGTAGGTTAATGGTTGGACTGGATGATCTTAAAGGTCTTTTCCAACCTAAACGATTCTATGACTCTATGATTTTATGTCCCAAAGTGCCAGGTCTACAGGTTTTTTGAACACCTCCAGGGATGGTGACTCCACCACCTTTCTGGGCAGCTGTTCCAATGCTTGACTACCCTTTCTGTGAAGAATTTTTTCCTAATATGCAATCTAAACCTCCCCTGGTGCAACTTGAGGCTGTTTCCTCTCATCCTATTGCTAACTACTTGGAAGAAGAGACCAACACCCACCTCCCTACAACCTCCTTTCACGTAGTTGTAGAGAGCGATGAGGTCTCTTCTCATCCTCCTCTTCTCCAGGCTAAACAACCCCAGTTCCCTCAGCTGCTCCTCCATAAGACTTGGGCTCCAGACCCTTCACCAGCTTGCTCTGTCTTCCCCTCTGTGAGGTACTCCAGCGTTTCTTCTTTTAATTTCCAGTTATCACTGATCAAGAACAATGTGGATGTGTTATAAGTAAGTGTTAACAAGTCCTTTTTCCCATTTTCATTTGCCCTTTTTTTATTCTTTTATGTTCCCTCGTCTCCACTCACTTTATTGTGAGATTTTCAGGACAAGGATAATCTTTTTAAGGTGAAAAGACATTATATTCCAATACACAGACTGTCACAAAATTGTCGTATCCACACACCAGTGTTTTCTTTTGCTTTTAAAAAAAATGTAATGTTCTATAAACAAATTACATGCTCCTTCTGTGGAATATCATGCTATCCTCACCTCCTGGAAAACAAAACCATCTGGCCACAGTATTTCAATTATTGCTGAGCCACAGGCTAAGGAGGATGGCCAAGACTCTCACTGTGTGGTGATCCAAGAAAAAGGGATGGTGATCAGGGCTGAGAGCATCTGGTTGAAACTGCTCAATATCTGTGAGATTTTTCACATTTGAAGTTTTTCCCATGGAATTTATGTGCATCCTTCATGGACAATGATATCTAAGGTACAAAAGGAAACAGTGTATATATATATATATATGTATATATTTAGGCTCACGGTTGTTTTTTTTTTTTTAAAGCTCTAAATCCTCTCACTTTTGGGGGCTAGCTTTGTTTCAAAAATAATCTCTGTGTTCCAGTGTTTAAAAAGTCACCCCCCCTAAGGAATATTAAGCAAACAGCGTCCCTTTAAGAGCTAAATCTGTTAGCAGCCATGTCCGTGGAAATTTTACATGCTGAGAGAATATATGTCAAGATATAATTGTTTTTTTGTGACCAAAAACCACATTAGAGAAATACTGAACGTTAACATAGAGAGGGAAAGATAGCATCATCAGATCCTACAACATTTTGCTCTGTTTAGATAATGTTTTAAATTTATGTTTTTCATTAATAGTTCTGAGGATAAACTTTGATTTTTTTTTCACAAATATCTTCAAAAATGGGTTTTTTTTGTTCATTGTCCAGTCAGATACATACTATGCATGGACTTTTCTCTCTGACTATAATTTATTTTTTTATTCATGGTGTTCAATTGGCCATTGACATCACCTCATAATGGTTTATGTCCTGTATGGACAATTCAGTTTTATAAAGATAAGGAGAAGAATCAAACAAAATTGCAAATTGATTAGATGGGTAAATCTTGCATGACTTTTGGAAGAGCAAGCATTCATTCAATGACAGAGTTTCTGAGAGTTTCCATCAATAGAAACATTCTCGCAAATAAAAATCTCCCAGAAATAAATGCTGAGTGCAAGTTAAAAAGTGCACTATGAATAGAAACATATAGTCAAGTTTCTTTTTCAAATGTTGGACCCAAGCAGACCCAATCCTTTTTGCTGTGAAACTGTTGCATTCTTGTTAACCCAGGCAAGGGCAGTCAAGAGCAAAATTTCAAAGTCTTAGTGGATTCAATAAAAGAAAAGTTGTTGAGGGAGTTGGGAACCAAAGGCATCCAGCAAGGGCTAGAACTGGGGGCAAAGAATTTGGTTTGTGAGCAACAGAACAGAACTTGGGGTCAGAGGGCCCCCTTGGGCTAGAGGCCCAGAAATATGAATGCTTTTTTAAGACGAGAGCAAGAGCCAAAAAGAGTGATATCAAGGGAAAACATGGTAGGAGAACAGAGAACAGAGTCTGTCCACTGAATAAGTGAGCTAAGCAGTCATGTTTTATGACTGAATATGACACTAGATTTAAAACTAATGTTTGATGCTTCCATCAACAAATATTTGATGTTCCAAGAATATGAATAGATACAAATAATGTAGCTTGATGTATCTATAGATACCGACACAGAAATTAGTCCTTAAGAAAGCAACTGGTACATTGCTGGACCCCAACACTGGCCACCTATGGTACAAAAAATGGTGGCTAGGGTGGGAGGTGGTTCCTGAATTCGGTGGAAGCAGATCCAGGAGCAGCTGGAAAGCCCCCGGATCTTTCTCACTACTACAGCCATGACAGCCTGGAAGCAAAACCGCCTTGGCCATGTAGGTGAGCAAAATCCTAAAGATGTTTTGGTCCTTACTTATTGAAGCACCCCACTATTAGGGGAGTGGTGGAAATATGTGCTTTAAGAAAGATATCTGGCTTAGAAATCAAGTTCAGCCGCGCCTTGAAGCAGAGTGCCTGGCAATTTCTGAAGTCCACAATTAATACATTGATTGCAAGATATCTCTTGTAAGACATCAAGACATCTCACAGGGTTTCCTACTCATGTCTCAAGGGCTAGAATTACAGCATACTCCACTAGCTTTGTCAGAGGGATCCCTAAGGAATGTCTCCTTCCCAAGTGCCTGCAAAGATAGAAGCTGTATTTGTGTCTTCCCCAACCAACCACTGTGCAGTTGCCAAGCATTCAGGAATCACTCTGCACTCCCATATGGACTGCGAGATCTCCTTCCTGATATCTGTGAGTATTTGCATGCAATCTCCCAGAATTTGAATGGACATGCAGACTGAAGGTGGAAACAAAGATTATGTACGAGTAGCCAGAACTCCCTGGGACAGCCGTTCTACCCGTATGCTTGGTTCTCATCGCAGAGAGTCACAGATTCATAGCAGTGATTGAAAGGGACAACTTGACTTGTCCAGCCCCTACCTGGGTGCTGCTGAGAGAAACTGGGGGCAGTGTAGCCTGAGAATAAAAATACACTGCTAAAATTGTTACAGGAAAATTCATCTGGCTTTTTCAGAGTGCTTTTTAAAAAACTGTTTTAGTGGCTGTTACTTAAGTGTTTTAGAAACAGTTGTTTCTAAGTAGTTGTTAATACAATATTTCAATAAATCAAAAATGAATGATTCCAGAATTGCTCACTTAGCTTTTGCTGCTGCTTCTCTGTCTTACCACTTCGCTTTCTGACATCCCAGTTTCCCTATTTTGTGAAATCAAGCTAGAGATAGAGCTCTACTCAAAGGAACATGATAAAAACTGCCATGCAAGTAATATATCACCGCAGATTCTTTCTCAGAAGCACCTGTTATTAACCATGTCAAATATAGGTACACATCTGGCAAAAGCAGTACCTGCATTTCTGTACCTGTTGTTTAACAGAGTTGCAAGTAACAAACACCTGCACCTAAGAAGCTCCACTGTCCCAAAATGTGTTTACAGCTTAGTCCAGACCTGCTGTTTCAAACAGAGAAATGTTTTTTCCAGAAGGATACAACCATTCTTTTGTTGTGGGCTTGCAGTTGCACAGCCATTTTCACCATTATGTGCTGAACTGGGCAACACTAATAGGTCGCTATGACCTTGGTAGCCACTCCTGCACGGCTGGGAGGTGCACAGAGTGTGATGAACCTTGAGACTAGCTGAAACAGTGGGGAGTCCCTCAGGCAGAGAGCTTCAGATCGGCACCTCAGATGTTCTCACCATGCTCACCCAGATCACAGGGATCATCTATTCTGAGCTATTCCCGTTTTCCACAGTAGTTACAGGCTCTGGCTTTGCACAGGGATGAGCACCCAGTTAGAAGCAATGACAATGGGAAACTAACATTGTGACCTGGCGTGTCTGAGCTGCCAAGTCTTAGTGGTCCTTTGTATTGCTGCTGTGGTTATTTAATTACCACTCTCACAGTGAAGCAGCTGTTAAGTGGCTCTGAAGACTAATATACATTGAGTCTAGACAGGCACAGTTTGAAACCAGAGTTTTCAGTTTCTCTCTAGACAACCAATGCTATCTGAGTTTCTGTTTCAAAAAATATTCAACATTTCTGTAGCATTTTTAGCTTCTTTGCAAGAGAAAGATCATCCTTAGTTGTGTTATTACATCCTGCTTGACATGAGTTACTCCCTAAGAAAGTGAAGAAAGCTGATGGGGAAATGAACAAGTTTCAGTTACCATTTAAGCCAATTACAAAAGTCCCACAGTTTAATGCTTTTCTAAATTTCTTTGCAATGGAATATTCTTATAATTAAGCACACATCAGCGGAGAGAGAAGGCTGAGCTTTGATGCATTACAAAGGAGGCAGCTCTGAGAAAAGTCTAACTCCTGCATTTTAAATAGTGATTTCATAAAATTCTACGTACATTTTCCTTTCCCTGAGCAGAATATATTTTAGTTTCTTTATTGCAAATATTAAGTTCTTAGGTGTTGTGTGAACTGGGTGCATATTGGGGACTAGTAGTTAGAAGAGATGTAGGATTACTAGAGCTCGTATCATCATGGTCTTTTCATGTAGCGACTTCTGCTTTTACTCAGGAGTTTTTTTCCCAGTTCAGTTCTTGACATTGACCCAGAGAGTGACTGTTATATAAAGATGTACAGACAGGAATTAATTTGATTTGCTATGGATGAATGGCAGAATGGTGCCCCTGAAATGCAATATATACTCACCTGCTTCTGGAATCAACTGCCTTTAGCAACCATCAGTGTCTGTCCTCAGGCATGCTTACATTTGTAAGAGCAGTCTTGCCAGGAACAGAAGTGGGAGCAG